CATGGTGGCACTAAATGGTAATCCCAGTGCTGGGGAGGGTGAAAACAGGAGGATCAGAATGAGTCTGAGCTGTGTAGTGAAACCCTGTACCAAATGCATTGGGGGTGGGGAGAAAGCCTTCCTGGGTCTCAGGGTGTGCTGTCTTCCATCCTCTCCTCTGTTACATTATTGAGGCTTTCTCAAGGTGAAGCCCTGTCCCAGTGCGGCTTCAGCTCCATCCATCTGGGGTGAGGCTGGGTGCCCGGTCGTTCTCCCTCCTCCATGGGGCTGGCCTCCTCTATGCTCAGCCCTCACCTACAGAGCATGTAATGCTCCCGCCACAAGGGGCTCCATCCTGGGCTGATGCCTTTCTCACTGTGTGAGACTCTTGCCCTCACTTTATCATCTGCGGTGGTAACATTTGTGAGCCACTTTGTGTAGATGTGTGTCATCATACCTCTTGTGTTTGTGTCTGAGTTAGTGATTAGTGGTAACGTGGGAACAATTATGGTTAAATGTAGATTTATTTTATTTTATTTTATTTATGTGTGTGTGTATGCGCGGGCGGCCAGCTCAGTCCACCAGGGGGCGGGGCTGGCTGGCATGTGGTGCTGGGGAATTGAACCGCAGTCCCTGTGCTTTGTTAGGTTTGTTGTAAGTAGGTGCTTTAGACCACTGAGCCATCTCACCAGCCCCTAAATGTAGATTGTTTTATTGAAAATTCATTGGGGCTGGGGAGATGGCTCAGTGGAATAAGCGCTTCCCCGGCAAGTGCAAGGGCCTGAGTTCAATCCCCAGTTCCGCAAAAAAGAAAATTCATGATAAATTCTAATTCACAGAGACATAGAATAACTGATGAAAACATTTTCTGAGTAAATCCCAGCATCTGGGTTAGTTAGGAGCCAAGTAGACATTGGTAAGTGTGTTGGAGTCCCCGATCGAGCACCGGAGTTGGCACAGCGGACGAGGAGAGCCCCGCCTGTGCCTTCAGCCGCTCTGGTGCCCATGTGGGGACCTCGGGGCTCTGTCAGCAAGGAGCCCGGCACCAGCTTGGAACTTCCACCTCAGCCCAGAGCTCTGAGCCAATCCAACCCTCTTCATGATGAACAAGCATGGAGTATTCTGTTTAGAAATCAGAAAAGATGGGGCCGGGGAGATGGCTCAGTAGAATAAGTGCTTCCCTGGCAAGCGCAAGGGCCCGAGTTCAATCCCCAGTTCTGCCAAAAAAAAAAAAAAGAAAGAAAGAAATCGGAAGACTTAGGCAGCGCCTGCATTCTTCAGAGCTGGAGAAGCTCCAGGTCATGCTCAACAGCAGAGCACATCTTGCAGTTTCAGTGAAGGAGCTGTCTTCACGTGCTCAGCAGTAGTGGTCACTGCGTGTCTCCCGACTGGAGCCCAGTAGTGGCATTTTAGTGTGACAAAGAACAACTTTTGCCTCAGGACTGTTTGAAGGTGTGCTTGAAAGCTGCAGGTGGTGACATTGCTCCATTCTAAGGAAATTGCAGTTTTGTTCTTTTTTTTAATGGCTTTGGTTGGTTGCGGCAGGGTCTCCCTGTGCAGCTCAGACACCTACGGATCCTCCTGTGTTCAGCCTCCCCAGCGCTGGGATTGGAGGTGTGGGCCGCTGTCCCCAGACTCTGACCCACTCAGACCTGCTCAGCCCGTGCTGGGGGCGTGGCTGGCACAACATGTGGTGCAGGCCAGAGTGGTCCCTGCGCTTGCCTAACCAGGCACTTTAGTCTGCTGAGCTATCTTGCTGGCCCCTTCAATGTTTTTTTTCTTTTCGTCAATTTTTATGATGAAGAAATATTCACTGGAAGTGGCATTGTTTAAATGTGTTTCCTAGGGGCCGAGGAGATGGCTCAGTAAATAAGCGCTTCCCTGGCAAGCGCAAGGGCCTGAGCTCAAACCCCGATTCCGCAAAGAAAAAAAAAAGTGTTTCCTGCTTTGCCAAGAAAAGGCAAATTGTATAAAACAGCTTGTTATACGTTCTTTTTTTTTTATTTTTATTTATTTTAGTGTGTCCAAGTGAGGTTTTTTTTCCATAGTTTCATTGAGAAACAAATAGCAATGAGACAGTTTCAAATAAAATTGGTAGGACAGTTTCAGTAATTAACACCATACATTCTTTAAATTTTTTTTTAAGTTTTTTTAAAAATTTTTTATTTGTGTGTGTGTGTGTGTGTGTGTGTGTGTGTGTGTCCAGCTCAGCCCACCATGGGGCAGGGCTGGCTGGCATGTGGTGCTGGGGGATTGAACCGCGGTCCTTGTGCTTTCCTTTGCAAAGCTTGTTCTAAGTAGGTGCCTTAGACCACTGAGCCATCTCAGCAGCCCCTTTTTTTTTTTCCCAGAACTGGGGATTGAACTCAGGCCCTTGCGCTTGCTAGGGAAGTGCTTTTTCCACTGAGCCATCTCCCCGGCCCCTCCAGGGCATTATTGATGGCAGAAGTCAGGGTTCTCTACCGTCAGGCAGACAGAAGGGAAATAAGGGAGACATCCAGGTCCGTACCAGAATCATCCACAGACTTCTTTATCTTTATTGAAAATATTCCAGTTAGTCTTCATTTTTGTTCTTGCACTCAAAAATCTTTAAAAATTCTGAACTAGGGGCTGGTGAGATGGCTCAGTGGTCTAAAGCACCTACTTGGAACAAACTTAGCAAAGCACAGGGACCGCGGTTCAACCCCCCAGCACCACATGCCAGCCAGCCCCGCCCCCTGGTGGGCTGAGCTGCTCCCCCACACCCACAAATAAATAAATAAATTTTAAAAAATAAATAAAAATCCTGAACTATCTCCCCGACCCCTATCACTTGATACTGTGGACTTGTCTTCCCTGTGCTGTAATACTGTGTAACCTTTCTGGGTTCGCCTTCCCTCTCTGCATTGCCTGTTACTTGGTTCTGTTTTCTGTTGTCAGCTAAGATGTTCAGGAGGGTTGTGTCCCCGGAGTGTGTAACTTCCAGGGTTACTTATGCTTATTTACAACTAACCAAAACCCGTCAGCTGGTGATGTAGCGCAGTCACACGCCTGCCTGGCAAGCGTGAGGTTGTGAGTTGGATTCCCAGTACCAGATAAATGTAAAAAATGGATGCACCCCTGTTTGAAATATACTCCTGTTTCAGATTCAGCCTTGCACCTCTGCATGGTCACCGTGTCTCTTCTATGCCCAGTTATGTCAGTCTTCTCTCTGATCAGTAGTTACTTTTTGTTTTGTTTTGTTTTGAGCCAGGGTCTCGCTCTGCAGCTCAGGCTGGCCTTGAGCTCACTGTGTAGCCCAGGCTGGTCTCAAACTTGCGAGGATCCTCCTGCCCCCACCTCCCGAGTGCTGGGATGACAGGCAGGCGCCAGCATGCTCAGCTTGTTCTTTTCATGTCTTGATTTTGTTGCTTCCCAGGATTTACATAGTTTTCCTTTCTCTCTCTACTTCTGGTAGCTTTATTCTTTTGTCCTGTATAAACACTTTAGATTTTTGTTCGTTTGTTTGTTTATTGCATTTGGTACAGGGTCTTACTGCACAGCTGGGACTTGTGCTGAGCCTCCTGTTTTCAGCCTCTCCAGAGCTGGGATTATATGCGTGCACCACCTGCGCACACTTGGAAGGGGGCTCAGTGGCCCCAGTGGCAGGTCCCTGTGTGGCATGTGTGGCCAGGCGCTTAGTCTGCCCAACTATCTTACCGGCCCTAGCTTTTTAATTTAAAGGATATTTTACTGTGAATTCTCAGAGTGATCTAGTTTATCTTTCCCTTTTGGAGAGGGACTATGGTGAGCACACCAGACCTGGGAAGACACAAATCCCTGTGTCTCCCTGCTGCTGTATTAAACAGACTGTGGTCTGTGTCAGTTGGTGACCTAAGAGCTCCATCGTGAATCAGTGTTCCCTGGGCGCGGATCTGTATGGCCCCCCAAGCCTCATGCACTCGTGGGTGGGGCCTTACACACATGGAAATGCCCACAATATGAGGCAGCGATTCGATTCATTGCACAGGGCTAGGCTTAGGCGTGTGAGTGCTGCTGCCAAGATTAAAGTACAGAGGGCACAAGGAGGCCGCTGTTGTGCCGCGCTGCCCGTTGCCCACGGCTTCCGCTGGCTTCTGCTGCCCCGGGCTCTTGCTCCTCTGGTGTGAGGCACATGAACCCGATCTTCCCGTAGTTTCGGTGTTGGGTGTTTTCTCTCAGCAGTGAGAACCAGGAGACTGAGATGTATTCTGTGGCCCTGGGAGCCACTGCTTCTGTGCACACTGCTGATCATTCTCTGTACCAATCGAGTGGTGCTCTTCAGTGCGGCGTTTGAAACTCAACTGAAAGATGCTGCGATATTTGCAGGTGTATTTGGTACTGAAAGTATTTTTTCTTGCGTTATCAGTGCTGGTTTGTTTGGTTTACAACTTCTGGATGATCAGTGTACATTTGAGAAATAGACTGCTTGTGTGCACGGCCGGCTGCTCCCTCCTGCCAAGTGTCGGTCGCCACACAGGAGATCTCCGCTTCCTTAGTCTTACTTCTTTGTTCTTTCACATTCTCCAGGAGGACATGTAGTTGTTTTCATCACCTTTGCAAGTTTCCACTCATAAATTTTCCTTAGATTTCAAGTGAGCCTCCGTCTATGAGAGATGGGTAAAGTATCAAAATGCTGTCTAAATGGAACCAGAGAAGGCAGCAGGCAATTCTCAGTTGAGCAAAAGAATGACTTCCATTCCTCCCAGCAATACATCAGACCCTTGTCTCCTTGCTCTGCCCTGGGATTCTGATTTGTGGGCTCCTTCTACGGCCCGTGCTTTAGCGACTTGTTCACCAGTAAAGCTGGGTTAGACCAGGAGAAGCGGAGTCCCCACTCCGCTGAGGCTTAGCAGAGTTCCATTGTAGACTCAGAATGTCATTTGTGACCAGTGCAAATGGCTGGAGCAAGACATGGAGTAGACACTGGGAAACAGCCTTCCATGAGCCCTTTATGAGCAGCTTGCCGCGCTCCCTGTCCTGATCTGCCTCTTCTTCCTGCAAATGCCTGTGTGACGGCGTAGGAGGCGGTGACCTTCGAGGACGTGGCTGTGAACTTCTCCCGGGAGGAGTGGGCGCTGCTGGATCCGCCCCAGAGGAAGCTCTACGGAGACGTGATGTGGGAGACCCTGAGGCACCTGGCCGCCGTAGGTGAGGAGCGTCCCGCCTTCTCACTGCTGCCCGAGCATCTGGCGCCCACCGGCGGAGTTTCCTTAGGGCAGGCTGGGGATGTTTTAGTGCGTCTTCAAGCCGTGGTCTCATTTTACTGTGACTGAAGCTGATTCCGACTGCTTTTCCTGCGGGTAGTAAGTGTCCTTTGTATTTCTGTGTCTGCGCTTTAGGAAGGAGCTGCGATGACCCGCGAATTGAAGATGAGTGTAGAAATTTCCAGAAACAGAAAAGGTAACTGGGACTCAGAGGAGAATCCTGCTCAGGTGTCAGAGCCTGAGGCCTAAGCAAGCTGCACACAGGACCGTGTTCACAGCTTTTAATCTTACAGAATTTCGCACTGCACATTGAATATCTCTAATGTGAGAATTGAGTTTTAGAAATATTGCAGTATCTCAGGTGGAGGTGCTCCTCCTGTTACTGCCAACACCAACAGCACTGTGGGTAGTGTACGAGAAGACAGCCGGGCGAGCTGCGGCCCCCGTGTGCTCCCAGCGCTCTGGAGGCTGAGGCAGGAAGATTGCCTCAAGTGCCAGGACAGTCTGGGCCACAGAGTAATGGTTTTTTTGGGGGGAAGGTAGTGGGCAGAACCGGGATTTGAACACAGGCCCTTGCAGTTTGCCAAGCAAGCGCTTATTCTAGTGAGCTATCTCCTCAACGCCCACATAGTAATTTTTAAGGCAGACTCAACTATACAGTGCCACCCTTTCTCAACTTTTTTTTACAAAGTACAAATTTTCTGTGTTTAGATGTATAAAGATATGGAATTAAATTTCAGGCTTTGAGGAGAGGACGATATAAAACATTTTATGCATGCAGTGAGAACTAACTTCTAATTAAGTATTCATACTTTTATTTTTTATTTATTTATTTATTTTTTTGGCGGAACCAGCGATTGAACTCAGGCCCTTGGGCTTGCCAGGGAATCGTTTATTGCAGTGAGCCATCACCCCTGCCCCCCAGTATTTGTGGGTTTTTTTTGTTTTTTGGCTCTGAATGCCTTTAGGGCAGGTTTGGCTGGCTTGAGTTGTGGGGATGGAACCACAGCAACCTGATCCTGACTGCTTTGTTGAAGCAGCCACTTAAAGAACTGAGCTAAGGGGCAGGCCCCCCAGTATTTATGTTTTTATTTTATTTATTTATTTATTT